GCTGTGGGAGTTTAGGGTTTAGGGTTTAGAGGTTTAGGGTTTGGGACTTTAGGGTTTAGGGTACCTCTTCCAACATGATACACCCTGAAATCTAAAGAATAGGTTCACTTCTGCCCGGGCGCCTTCGCTGAAGGCTCGATGAACGACCTCGTCCACTTCGTCCCAGGTCTTGGCAGTGCAGTGGGGTTGGGTAGCTCTGTTTAGGTTTCTAGGTTTAGAGTTTAAGAGTTTAGGGTTCAGGGTTTAGTGCTAGGTTTTAGGACTTCTTAAGAGATTTAGGTTGTTCGTGTGGGGCGCAGAGTCAAAAACAGTGGCAAAAGCGAAGGGCCAAGTTGGACAAAGGCGAGACAAGAAACATGGTGGAACCGGGCGGAAACTGTAGCCGACATCCACATGAGCATCGGAAGAAAGACTACTGTGGGAAGGCAGGTGCCGCTACTTGTTCCCCGCGATCCCAGCAAAAGGCCTCGTGCAAGTCTGACATGTCCAGCATCGACGTCTGTGTGACAGATGTGCCAACCCGATGCATCTTTTCTTCGTCGCATTGGTGGCTCAGAAAAATGGCAGGTAGTATTTAACATGCTGCAGCAGGCATCTGTACATGCATGGTGTCCAGCGGGTCCAAGCTACACGAAGGAGTCCACGTGATCGCCTTGAGATGAAGTCGCAGTGCAGGCTTGTTGCGGCTGGGGCGTCGAATGTACGCCAGTTCTACACGAAACATGGGATCCGCCGTGCTTGGATGCATGGCGGAACTCATTAGATGTTCCGCCATGTGCTGGTCTACCGGAAGAGCTACAATGGGACTGCCGTCCTCCCGCACAATCAGCACGGGATCGTGCACTGAATTTCACATCACGCCGGAAAGACTGATTTTTTATGAGGCGTTTGCTCGTAACAGTCTTCGCTTCGCTGTTCCTGCGAGGTCTTGCTAAGTGTTGCAAACGCCGAGCCCAGCATGCTTGTGAACGCGAACCACTCAATTGAAAAAACAAGCTATGAAGCTGCAACCAACCTGACTCTTTACTAAAGCTTTGCCCAAAACAGAAGAATCTAATGTACGCAATGGCATGCTTTTGTTGTCTAGTTTTCGGCACAGATCGTGACCGACACCCGTAAACTATCTACAGCAGTGTCAAGGAGAACGACTCCAAAATCAGCACCCCTGCTTTCCAAAACCAAAGACTTCAAGCTCTCAGCTCGAAGCCCGGGGGTTGCAACACTTGAGCCAAGCATCGCGACATAGCGGACGGAGAGGTAGGAAGGTTCGTGCGCCGTGAGAAACTCTGTCGAACATGCTGGCTTGCAGGTAGTCATGCGCTGCTATACCCGTTGTAGTATGTGGCATCCACTTTAGGACAGTACTCAAGCCCTGAACACCATAAGGTTCAGTCGCAGGGATTGAAACATAAAAAGGCCTGAAAGGTTTAGCACTGAGTGGCCTTTCGTTGACTGTTGCAGTCGAGCTGAAACCAGGCCAGCATCACGGGATTTTACCATGAGTAAGGTGATGCCCCAAACCCTCCTCGAAGTGTAGGTCACACCAACACTGTAAGGACGATCCATGAATGATCCTGCTGAGTCTTGAGGGCTCCTAATAGTTGCGTTGCTCGTGAGACTAGGAAGACAAGCCCCAGACCCTCGAGGCAAGATGGTGGCTGAAACCTTTAACCCTAAAGTGATTCTTTCCAGCCCTAAACCCGTCTCGGCTCAGGAAGTTTCGGGAAGATGCCTAAGCCTCGCTCTCTTGATCCAACCTCTGTCATACGAGGCCTCCTGGACCCATAAGCAGCTATGGCCAGCTGCCGGAGTACTAGAACTCTGGACTTGTGTTCTTGCAGCAATGGTGTGTGTGTGTGTGTGTCTGTGTGTGTGTGCGCGTGTTATATATATATGTATATCTATCTATATATATATATATATGTGCACACATGTATAGTACTGCTTAGTTCGCAGTGACAAACATGTGTACATAGACACCACTCTCTCGCCCATAGACAATCATCTGCACGCCAGTAGTGACCCTGAACAAACCCTGAACCCTAAACCGTGAAACCTAACCCTAATTCTTGAATCCTAAATCCCAAAAGACCCGTGGATGGCCAGGTTTTAGGATGTGGAATGTGGTGGTTTGCTGAAGGCGGAGATGGCAAAATTCTGAGTTCGTTGGATTGTTCTGCCACGTACCAGTGCATGAGTCTCAGACCGTTTGGGATAACTCAACCACCTCAATTAAACCTCGGCAACCATACTGCAAGGTTCCTTCCAGCTAGGGATTTTCAAAGCAGGCTTTCAGTCCCGGGCTTCTCTTTGCGAAAGCTATAATATTCAAAAATGTGTGTCTTCTGTGCAACGAGGAGTGGGAGTCTCGATGCAGGACGGCGAGTATGCAAGAAGTCCCAGGTGAGAGCTCTCAGGCACTCGGTTTAAACGGCTCTCCTGCACAACGCATTCTTTATTGCAGCGAGCACCACACCGCTTGTTGAAACCTATAACCCTCAAAACCCTAAACTCCATAAACCCTTGTCAACCCTGAGCCCTTGTTGTTTTAATCTACACGTACGAGGTTTCAAGCCTACCGGTACTTGTGGTCGTAGCGGTCAAGCTCTTCAGAGCACCAATGACAAGAGCACAAGTGGTGCCGTCAGCGCCACAAGCTACTACTATAGGGCCGTCAATGCACATGCTCACGTCGGACTAAGACGGTTTTGGTGTCTGTCAAGGCGAAGCAACTTCGGAAATACTTTCTTTCATGGGGTACTCCGTGACGGAGTACCGGCCTTATCGTGTGCAGACTTGATGTGTCCATGACGCGTTTTACATATTTTCGCTGGCATGGTGAATGTCCGTAACGGCATACCTGCAAGGTCGTACTCTTACCAGAGTTGCAGTTGCTTCGATTTGGCGTGGACTAGCCTTCATCGTAAGAAACTTCGTGTCTTGGACAGGCTCTAGAAGCTGCACCTCGACCAGAGCTAGTTAGCACAGCAACATGCTTACATCCCTACACACCCAGACTGCCGAAACCGACATAACCTCGAAACACCGATTGAAACTCGAATCTCGACAACCCTGATTACGGAAGAAGTTGACCTACTCTCTACTTCTACGTCTACGTCTGAAAGAACAAGCCGGTGCGGGGCGGTTCCGTTGCTATCCACGACGGGTGTAGCTTCTCCCATCTGGGCGGAAGGTTGAGGCAATGAAAACGAGTATTGGTATTAGTATTAGTATCAGTTGTAGCAGTATTTGTGCTAGTAGTAGTAGTAGTAGTAGTAGTAGGAGTAGTAGTAGTAGTAGTAGTGGTGGTAGTAGTAGTAGTAGTAGTACAGTAACAGTACTAGTAGTAATAGTAGTAGTAGTAGTAGTAGTAGTAGTCAGTAGCAGTAGCAGTAGCAGTAGCAGTAGTAGTAGTTAGTAGTAGTAGTAGTAGTAGTAGTAGTAGTAGTAGTAGTACCAGTAGTCGAAGTAGTAGGTGTTGTTGTTGTTGTCGTCGTCGTCGTGGTCGCCGCACAGGAACCAGTAACCGCCAACAAGCCGAAGGGCTCTTCGAGGCACGCTCGAACTCTCGTCTGGATCTCTCTTGTCTTGCATGCGCCTCCGCTTCCCGGAGCAGCAGCGCGCAAGCTTCGAAGGTGGAGATGCGACCTGAACTTTACAAGACCCAGCCAAAAGGCATACAGGGCTGGGATTCCCTGTGTCGGAACCCGTGCCATGAAAGATCAACTCTTTGACAACTTAATTCCACTTGTCCCCGAAAGACGCGCTAAGGGGACCTTGCCTTGTCCTGCTCCCTGCTTCAGGGCATCGATGAGGGGCGAGTGGAACGCGCGTACCGCCTCCTCCTGCAGCCTCTGAGACTCTGACTGAGAGAGGCAAGCCCGAATTTGGGACGTGCTGGTCCCGACATGATCTGAGGCTTTGGATGGACACGAGCATTCTGAGAAGTCGTACTGCTTGCAGGCATCCGGTCTCGCCGTCAGGCCGACTTGCGACTTGGACAGACAAGCTGCCATCTACTGGCAGGCTGGAGCCGTTGTGGAGGTTTCGGTGGTCTGCCCTCGCCCAATAGACCCCACAATTGTTGCATGTCAGGCTCCGAAGCCAAGCGTCGAGTTCATCCAAGCATGCTTGCATCTTTTTGGACTACATGACTACAGACTGTCAAAGTTTCAATCATAATCGAAGGCGCACAGATTGAGACTATGCCGATGGAGTGACAGTAAAACACTCAACTTAACCAAATCTCAAGAACATTTCAGAAACGCCGACCCTTATACTGCAGAAGGCTCTCAAACCGGCGATGAAATGTCGCAAGCGTCGCAAGGAGTGAACAAGCAAAACCGACAGTAGATCAAGATCATAGGACGGCCTCAGGCACGGAAGTGGCGGGCGGCCACGTGCTGCCCTCTTCCGGTCTAAGGCACGTCTCAAGGCCTGCACCTTCACGGCCGCGCACGTCGGTTTTCAGCTTCCGGTTCAGAAATAGCAACCGCAATGAAGTTCACCGACCACGGTAGTTGTCGTTTTCGTCATCTGATGAATCCCTAAATGTAGGCTTAAAACGATTCCTACATCTGGCGGGATGAAAGCACATCAAGCTCTTTGGGCCGAAAGGGCCAGGAGTACTGCAGTTTTATTTTGAAGATTGCAAAAGTACGGAAGCAGGATGCTACTGGTGCCAACATCACTCAGAACTGTACTGTGCAAATGCGGCTTTTCAACAACAGTAGTGCCCATGAAGTATGTAGGCGTGTCTTGGATCTCCCGCGACTTTATGGCTAGCTCGGTGGTGTCACTGGAAATCGTTGCAGGGACTCTGGGTTTCTGAACATCTGCCGGGTCACGGGTTGCGAAAGACAAACGATAGAGAAGCATGCTTGATGTGACTTCTTCACCACCTGCCTTCCGAGAAATGCTGCAGCTCAATCCACATAAGCCTGACTGCGACGAACACCCCGAAATCTAGCCATGCCTGAAGAAAGGTGGGAAACTTCTACCTCATGCATTCACACTGTCTCCTGGAAGCAGAGTCCACGGGAACACTATGGTTCAATCCTCACTGGTTCAATGCGAAAGCCCCAAGGTTAAAGGTCCATATTGCCCCATCCCTTCACGACTGACTGCAGCATCCAACACCTGCTCCCAGGAACCATCCGGAATCAGCCTGCCACAGCAGATGCTTCTGTAAGGCCTTGTTTTGCCTGGGATTTGGGCTACAACACCGCTACCCGCTATACACTACCTATTCCTTGCTGAAAGACCCTGGAGAGACGGAGGCTTTTGGTTTCATCTCGTGGTGCCAGACTACTTTTAAGACTCTGCTTGAGGGGAGTCTGGTGCGTGGGACTGCCACGTTCCCTTTTCGCGGGTCGGTGTTGTTGAATTTGGAGGCCTGTTAGAGAAATCACAGCTTGGCGGGGCACAGGACCCGCAAACCCCTAAACGCGAAATCCTGAAACCTACATCCCTTCATTCTCTGAAAGCATGAAAGCCCAGATCCTCAATCCTAACCCCATTTATCTTTAAGCTTAACCCTGAACCAATGAAGATCTGAATCCGATTCCCTATATGACACAAAGCCCAGCCGGCAGCACAGGATCAGCTCGCAACGCCGGTCTTCGGCGGCAACTGTCCCGTGCGCGAGGTCCTGGACCGCTTCAGGATCGAAAGCGTTTAGGGTTTAGAGAAAAGTAAGCAGGTAAGCAAGAGTATGTAGAGGATCTTCACGTCCGGCTTCCACCGTGGACAGCCCGCGAGTGTGTCTGATGCAGGGCGCAGGTGCTCACCCGTCTGTTGTGTGGCCGTGGAGGAACTTATTTTCTGATCTTGCTCTTCCTATCTCCCGGCATGAGACTGCCCAAGCTCCGCGACGGTCCAACGCGGCTGCCTGACTTCACTGAGGGGTTCTTCGTAGAGTAAGTCGTCTTCAACAGAAGGCAGCTTGAGGGATGCAACAACGTCGAACATTATCATATACAATATACACTAATATAAATATAAATATACATATATATATATATTTATTTATTTATTTATCTATTTATTTATATATTTATATTTATATTTATATTTATATTTATATTTATATTTATGTTTATGTTTATGTTTATGTTTATGTTTATATATATATTTATTATTATTATTATTATGATGTGTGTGTGTATATGTATATATTCACAATGTTACAATGTTATATTATACATGTATATAACGATAAGAGATCCCTCTCCTCCTGCGGCTTGGCCAACCACTCCTCAAAAGTCCTGCTACGTGTCTCACAGACCAACATTAGGACGTGTTCAAAGTACGTCTGCGCCCCCAAATACTAGAACCCACTTAACCACTTCGAGTCAGGGGCTGAAATTGCTTGAGATTGAGACGCTCAGCCAGCCCACGTTGTGCGATATGCTTAACTGCTCTTGGTGCGGGAAGCCGTCGGCCGTTGCCCTTCCGGACCCTCCCGAGCTAGGACCCTTGCGCCTGCTACCGTCGCCCGGTAGCAGCAGGTGCGTTCCTCAACCGGCTCTTGTGATTTGCAACACTCTTGGCATTATGGCTAATGACAGACAGGGCTCTAGAGGTTTCCAGGTCCAAAGGCACGACGACGCTGAAGTTGCTTAAGTTCACAGCTGCTGTATGGCGCTATGCGGACCTTGGTGCTTGCAAGTTTGTACTGAGCGAAACATCCCAGGCAAGCGTCGGCTGTCGTTGATGATCTGGTCGAGTTTGTCTGCATTAACGCCGACCTTGTGCACACGGAGCTCTCAAGCTCATGCCGACATAAAGGAGGCCATAAAGGAAACCAGCCTCTCCCGTTGCATCTAGTGGCTGGAGCACAACCCGACACCACGCTGTATGCACAGATTGACAACGCCGGTCATGCGCCCACATGCACGCAACACAGTTGCTTTGTGTGCCGGGAGGCGAGAAACTCCGAAACTGCCAAAACTGCACATCGAGACATCATCTGAGGAGTATACCCCGAAGACGAAGAGGTCCGCCCCCAGGACACAAGGCTGGCGGCAGGGCTTGCCACATGTCTAGAATGGGCAGGGCGACACCCTGGAAGCCAAAATCCAACCCTCTGAAGAAATACAACAGCTCGCCTCATGCTTCCACCGCTTCGACAACTAAAGTTAGTTCCATCCCCTCGCAGGAAGACAAGGCAACGGGGCCAGCAGCTTGCCGCTGCTGCTCGACCGTAGAAATTCCAGCGGGTGGCATAAGAGCACCTGAGCCCAAGCAACCCGGCCTTTACAGGCCTATGGGGCTGTCGGAGTGCCAGAGTTGCCCCACTTAGTACCAGGCGAAGTGCACCTTCTGCAGCTCAATCGCCTTGGCATTGTTGAGAGCGGGTCAGAAATTCAAAAATGTGGAGAGAGGATATAATTAAGCCGTCCGGGGAGTATGACCCTGAGGGTTATCCTGGTAACTTCCAGAAGCACTCGACCTATTGCCACAGTTGTCCTTCAAAGTGACCTCAAGTGTGGGGGTGAACCTGAACCCCCGGAGCCCCAAGCCTGAAACCCTCAACCCAAAGTTACGGTACTCCCCGCTAAAGCAATGATGGGTAGCCAAAGGTTCGAGACCCGACTACTGCCAGAACTCGAAAGCTGTTGAACCGAATGGCATTGAGCCCCGAATCCGAAGCCCTCAAAGAGCCCTGGACCTCCGAATGCCAAGACATCTCGGCCGAGCGACCTTCGACACCGCACAGCAAGCACACAACTCCTGAAGCTTTGCTCGTCTTTCCTTACTACGTAAGTTCATGGCTTCTTGCGAGTCACATAATGGTCTTAGAGTCTTATTGAAGTCTGCGGCCTGATGGGTATCTTGAACCCTAGAACTTGTTGACCCAACAAATGAAGGACGCCTTGGGAAGCCAGCAGTACCGGCACCTTCCATCCGCTTCGCTGGCCTTCGCCAAGTCTGTCGAACTGAGAGTGAGTTAGGCATATAAGCCAAATGAAAAACATGCATGGGAGACGAATGCTGAACATGACGATAGCTCTGATGATCCTAGCCATGACCATTGCCTGCGTTGAACAGTATGTTCCCCAAACCATTATCAAGGCAGGCCACCCATGAATCTGTGATGCCCGGAGTTGCGCATGCCAGGTGACATCTACGGAAGAGCCCCTCCTAAGCCATGAGACAGAAAGAACTGCACAAAATGGCCTTTTTTGTCACCACGGGTCAGTATGCACAGTGCTGATGGCCATGACGGGCTTGATAAATGAAAGCCATGAGGATGATCATGATGATGGTGATGGTGATGACGATGATGATTGAGGTGACCATGATGAGGCGGAGGAATGATGAAGGTGACGTTGTGGTGATGGCAATGGCGATAATGAGATGGAGTTGGTGGGTGCGGCGAGGCGGATTCAGAGGGGAACTCCCAGCCGCACGAACTCAAAGCCCTAAGGCCCTAAAAGGCGTGCCTGGATGGCGTAGTGGACACCTGCCTGCGCCACCGACAGGAAGGGATCCTGCATAAGGCTCGGGGTGGTGACGGGGATTCCAGGACCCTCAGGGCCGGAAAAATGACTGCACGAAACCCCTGAATCAAGAGTCCCCAAAAGTAAGACCCAAAGTAATCCCCGAATCTGCCTCGACTGCCTGGGACTCCGGACGCTACAGCCGCTACAAGGCGCTAGGGCTGCTGGCGTTCTTCTTTGTTTGTCACCCGTTTTCCTCTCGCACTGTTCATGCTGTCGGAAGGCCTTACCGGATGAGGCAAAGTAACCTTCGAAGATCATTAAATTTCGGCGATTTTTCTGGGTGCGGTCTTTGGCAAGGTCCGGGTTGTAGAAGTTGCCTCGATTTGCCCCGATTTTCGAGCGATCCTTTCTTCCAATCTCTCACCTTGGTCCCGTAACTGATCTATGTAGTCGTTGTGGCGGTTTTGATGCTCTTGATCTGGGCCCCTGTGGTTTTCTGCAGTTCGCCGACCACCTTCTGGAGTTGCTCGGCATGATGGGTCTGCAGCAGCATGGTTTGCTCTGCTAGGAGCCTCTGCCTTGCTGGGACGATCGAGGTCAAGATCAGTGTCATCCCATCATCGATCACTCCAGGTAGATGGTCCCCAGAGAGCCGTGGGGGGGATCTTAGCTCGGCCCACTGCACGTCTCGGCCCCGAGGCTTCCGCCATGCATGAGAGTGACAAGGGACTGCAACGGGATCGAAAGGTCTTGAGCGGCCCACCGTTTAGGGTTTGGAAGAGGTGGGGTGAAGATTTTCCCTTGTCTCTTCGGGGATCACACTGGGACAGCCCCAGACAAACTGCACGTCTTTAAAGTTTTCCGGAGAAAATGGCCTTTTCGGATTTCTGGGGAGGTGTGGGGTTTTGGGGCTTCGGTGTTGCCAAGCCTTTGTAGTCTTGAGGGGCGTTAAGGCAAAAATTGTAGTTTCAGTGGGGAAAACCGATGTTTTCTGCTTTATCAGTTATTGTTTTGGGAGACAGCCGTGCGCGACCTCTACACGTGTCGACTCTTTCTTTCGTCATTGTGTCACGGTTGGAAGTCGTGTTTTGCGTGTTTTTTCCCATGCGAAAGCAATGTCAAGGGATGTTGGGTTGAAGCTTTGAACTTGAAGGTTTTGGGGCTGGCACTGCTTCGGTAGGGCACGGGATGCTGGTTTTAAGCTTCTAGCTGGAGGGTTTAGGGTTTATTTGCTGGGGATTTTTGTTTGGACTTGAAGTAATGTCAGATATCCGCATGAAAATGGCACACCCAAAAACCATGCATGCAGTGGTCCCTCTCTTTTGCATGGTGGATGGGTGTGGCTGCCGACTCCCAGGAGAGT